GAACTAAGTTCCGTTCCCTCTGGGTTGCCCCATGTCCGTCAGTCTGATTACAGGTGCTACCTGTTTCCCCTTGTGCTTGCCCAATTCCTGCCACCATCTCCTGCTGGGTCAGCTCAGCCTGGCTCCTGCTCTCCCGGAAGCCCCCAGGGCTGCCTGTCCAGGGGGAGCTTCTCTGGGGCAGCGCTTCATGGCCTCGCTGACCAGCAGGGACTGACGAGCACATGATGCTGGAGGGGATCACGGTTTATGATTCCCTCACTGGACCTGGGGCCTGTTTTCCATCCTTTCTGGATGAAGAAAGCTGTTTCCACCCGGACTTTCTCAGGAGAAGCTTCAAGGCAGGCATCTCCTGAGGGGTCGGGGCCTGGAAAAACATCATCGCCATCAATCTCGCCATCACCCTCCTTGAGAGAGGTCAGCGTGAATGCCATCCTGGGCTGGTGAACAAACCCCAAGTAGAATCTCAGAAAAAGCCAGCTTGTTCTAAAGTGTGCGTTTGGCATGTAAGCACCAAAACAAAGCAGGACACAGGCCTGTAGGACCTCAGGTAACTCCCCGTGCCTCAGTTTCCTCATCTGTCACATAGGGATAGTTATACCTGTGATGTCCACTTCACGGTGCTGTCAGACGAGTTAGTGGATGCAAAAACACTCTGAAAATATGATGTGCTATTTGGGGTAAGATGCGATTGTGCAGGTCATTTATAAGTGGGCCTGGAGAAACATAGGTAGGCGCCAAGTGCTTGATCATTGGTTGAAAGCTTGTCATATTTGACATCATAAGCAGCCCTATTTTCCTATCAAGAGGTTGACTATCAAGGAAGGCAGACTATATTTGGTGGGTGGGTCTATATCCTCCTTTGTTCCAAAAACACTATCATTTAAAGTGGCTGGGTATGATAAAGGGAGTTTCTGCATGGGATAAGGGCTCGATCAAGTGTTCAATTCTTCATTCATTTATTCCCTCAGTAAGTATTAATTGAGTACTTAGTATGTACCAGACCCCAGGATATGATGTGGTTTCTGCTCTCAAAGGGCCCTTAGTCCCAAAGAAAAGACAGGCAATAAACAGATGAACTCTAATATAGGAGAGCAAATGTGTGATGCAGAAGAGCTTGGTAGAACTGGAGGTGAGAATTCACTCAGTGTTGACAGCGGTGGGGGACAGAGAGTCAGCAATGGACGAGAGCAGATGGTGCCTGGGCTGGGTCAGGAAGGATGAGAAGCACTTCACTGGCAAAGAGGTATTCCAGTCAAGTGCAGGAAATGGATGATGTCACAGGAGGTCATGTCACCCAGGGCATTTGAGGCACCGAATGCTGTGTCTCTGTGGGCCTCAGTTTCCTCATCAGTAAAGTGGAAATTATGGTAGAACATACTTCATTGGATCATTGTGAGGGTTAAATGGATTGATGTAAATAAAGCTCTTAAACAGTGACAATGGTTCTTGGCACATGGTAGGAGCCCAATAAATACCAACCATTATTTTGCTATTGTTTGTTCTTATTGATTGTTGTTGCTGTTATAGTGTATAGCTGACACTGCGCTGGGTCCCAGGGAGGCAGAGACAGGTGACCCAGTCTGGGTCCTCAAGGGTTCACAGCCCAGCTGGGGAATCAGACTTGTTGACGGGGCAGTGATCATGGTATATGCTCACACAGTGCTTGCTTACTATGTGCTGCTTTAAACGCCTCACATGTGTTTTGTGTGTAAACTTTTAATTAAAATATAGTATCTATTAGTAAAAGCCTACACGTCATAAATATTTTGCATCTATTTTTAATGCTCACAACAACACTATCAGGCAGATTTTATTTTGGGGGAGTGGAAGCATTTAGGGTTTTAAAATATTTAAATTGTGGATATATATATATAATATATATATATTATATATATATATATAATTTTGGAGTAGGAAATGGCAACCCACCCCAGTGTTCTTGCCTGAAAAATTCCATGGACAGAGGAGACTGGCGGGCTACAATCCATGGGGTCACGAGCAGTAGGACATGACTGAGTTACATATATATATATATGTATATGTAACATAAAATTTACCATCCTAACCAGTTTTTAAGTGTCCAGTTCAGTCCTGTTAAATGCAGTCCCATTGCTGTGCATCCAGTCTGCAGAACACTCATCATCTTGGAACTGAAACTCTGTATCCAAGAAACAATTACCCCCACATCCCCCTCCTCCTACACCTTGGCAGCTGCCAAGCTACCTTCTGTTTCTATGAGTTCAGCTACTCCAGGTACCTCATATAAATGGACATATTGGTCTTTTTGAATGTTTTACTTCACTGTCTGTCCTCAAGGTTCACCCATGTTGTATCATGTGTCAAGATTTTCTTCCTTTTTAAAGGCTGAGTAATACCCCATTGTATGTATATACCACATTTATTTATCCATTCATCTGTAGATGGACACTTGGGTTGCTTCCACATTTTGGCTGTTGCAAATAATGCTTCTGTGAACATGAGGTTACAAATATCTTTCTGAGACTCTGCTTTCAATTATTTTGGGTATTAACCCAGAAGTAGAATTGCTGCATCAAATGGTAATTTGGTTTTTAATTTTTTCAGGAACCACTCGATTATTTTCCTTCAGTGGCTTCACTAGTTTACATTCCCACCAGCAGTGCCCACATCCTTTCAAGACTTGTTATTTTCTGTTTTTGTTGGCAGTAGACAATCTCACGGGTGTGAGGTGGTATCGCATTGTGGTTTTGATTTGCCTTCTCTAATGATTAGTGGAGTATATTTTCCTGTGCTTATGAATCTTTTGCATGTCTTCTTTGGAGAAATGTCTATTCATTTGCCCCGTTTTTTAAAATTTGTTTTTAATTGGAAGATAATTGCTTTACAATGTTGTAGTTGGTTTCTGCTGTACAACGTGAATCAACTAGAAGTATACATATATTCCCTCCATCGTGAACCTCCCTCCCACCCGTTTTCTTGGGTTATTTGTTTTCTTTTGGAGTTGAGTTGTAGGAGTTCTTTCTGCATTCTGGATATTAACCCTTTCTCGTATGTATGATTTGCAAATATTCTCTCCTATTCTGTAGGTCGGAGGTAGACTTTATTGTAATCTCTATTTAATAATTGAGCTAACTAAAGAACAGAGAAGGTAAGGAATTAGCCCAAGGTCACACAGCTATAAAGTTAATGACAGAATAAAGCCCAAAGTGCTGCAGGAACATGAAGTAGAGAGAAGCTAATCCTATCTGCTTCCTCTAGGAGGCGATGATGACTTAGGCCTTGGAGAAGTATAAGGAAAATTTGGTTTAATGTATGAAGGATGGAGAGACGGGAGGGGCTTTCTTAGCAGAGTCATCTTCTTGTCAGAGCATGCCCTGGAGCCTGGTGCTCTGCGATCCTGTCTGCACTCTGACACATCTGCACTGGGAAACTGTGAACTGCTTCACCTTTCTAAGTCTCGGCTTCCATGTGTATAGACTGAGGGGGCTCTGTGCCCCGACTTTCTGATAGGCATGTTCTGAGGGTCTGAGTAGTTTACATGAATGTCAAGTGCTCTGTACAAGAGAAATGATCACAAATCTTCAGCACTGGGACCCAGGTGGTGGGGGAAGGACTCACTCCTCCTGAAATCCGGGGGGAATTGCCCACCTCCTCTACTCCTCCTAAGGTTGAAGCATTTCTGCCTTCTCCAAAAGTGCCCTCCTTCCCCCACCCCCACAGAGTTGTTTTCCTCTATGGTCCAGACTCCTGGGGTCACAGGCACATAATCATCCCGGAGAGGATGGAAGGGTCCCTGCTGTTCATGCAGCGGCTCATGCCTCATGCTCGTAGGGGGACCCCAAGCCAGTGTCCATCTCCTGGGACACAGTGACCCCCCTCCCGCCGCCCCCCCCCCCAGCCTCACAGAACAGAGGTGTTGTGAAGGTGTGGAGACAGCAGCAGAGAAATGGACTTAACCCTTGGCAGCACACATCCCCACTGAGTCCAGTCACACACATAACAACAATGATGGAAATACTCCACCTTCCATTACTAAAAATTCTGCAACAAGGACAAGGGTTCTTAACCTTTCAGAGGCCTTTGGACCCTTTTGACAATGTGATGAACGCTATGGAGGAATGAGCTTATTTGCATGCACTCAAAATGAGGCATTCAACTTCAGTTCTATTTCCGAGATGCATAGAGAAGCCATGCAAATAGCCACAGCAACAGTGCGAAGGACTTAGGAGTGAGCTTCCATGGTTGGCCACGCCAGGGGATGCTAGCAGCCCACAGGCAGAATCTTTACCATGCCCGCTTCCTGGTTTCTCCTCCTGGGCATCACTGCCTGGCACTTGCCTTCCTCCTCCTACCTTTCCTGTGCTGCCCCTCAGGACTTTTCATTCTGCACAGTGATTGCCCCATTCTCCTTGTTGGGAAACTTGAGGCTGTAGCAACACTGGAAGGGAGTTGCTGCCTCTGAATGGCCCGAGGCCCTGGGCAGCTGGCCAGTCCTGATTGCTATAAAAGGGAGCCGGCACTGAGCACTGCATGTCCTTTGGCAACTGTGTTTTGGGGAGACCTGGTAAGTGGAACTGTGGTCTGTCCCACACTGCGGGCTTCCCCTGGGGTGGGCTGGGGAGTGCAGCAGCCTTTTCAGAGGAGGGGAGAGAAAGCTCGCTGGTGTCTGGACAGGGTCCAGAGGAACATGAGCCTGGGGTTGAAGAAGGGGCCGAGGGCTCTGGGACTTTTGAGTGAGGGCACGTTTGGGCCCTTCCTGGGCAGAGGATGAGGACATGGGGAGAGCTGGCAGGCACTGTGTGTGCTTGGGTACCCTGCTCCCTCCCACACCCTCATCTCCATCATCCCACCCCTTCCCGTTGTAGCCAGAGCCCTCGGCTGGCTTTAGTTACTTGGATGGTGCCATCCAAGGCAAAGCCACCCCTGGGGTAGGAGCTTCCTGAGCGTCCCCATAGGCACCCTCCCCACTTCGGGCTTGCCCGGGTGCTCTGTCTTCCAGGTGGCGCAAATCCTTGGACACCATGCTGACGGATCTGGAGAGTGCCATTAACTCCCTGATTGAAGTCTACCACAAGTACTCCCTGCTGAAAGGGAATTACCACGCCGTCTATAGGGATGACTTGAAGAAATTGTTAGAGACAGAGTGTCCTAAGTATATGAAGGTGAGGAGGGACTGGCTATGGCTGGGGCTCTCGGCCTGGCTCTGATGAAGCCCTGGGTCACTGATCTCCTGCGTTGCCCCGCACAGACAGTCATGCCTCAGCTTCCCTGAGATCTTTACCCTCTGACTTCTTTCTTTCCAATCTTAACAGAAAAAGGATGCAGACACTTGGTTCAAAGAGTTGGACATCAATGAGGATGGTGGAATTAACTTCGAGGAGTTCATGGTGCTGGTGATAAAGGTGGGCCTGGCAACCCATGAAGACATTCACAAAGAATAGCAGAGCTATTGGGCCTGGGGCTAGGCCCCTGGACTCCTTCCTGCAGAGTAATAAAATAGTTGATACCTCAGGTCTCTCCTGATTGCTTGTTTCTGTTTGTGGAATGAGGCTCCTGTGGGGGTGGAGGGAGGGTTGGAAAACCCAAAGGAAGAGAAACAAACCTGTGTTGCCCCCACTACCCATCTATCACCAGCCCTCTGTGCTTACCACCTGTCTACTCTCCTCCCCGTGTTCTTCCCAAACGATGCCTGACCTTTTCCAGACCCACAATCCTGAGTCCTGAGTTCCAGGATTTAAGGATTTTAGAAAGTCCAAGACGCTATAGCTGTGGTATGAGTGATATGGGTGATATATGATATGGGTGATATGAGAACAGGGTGATATAAATAAAACTCAGAGTATTTTCTAAATTTTAATTTCCAGCAAAATGTCTTAGATGTAACTTTCAGGAAGTTAGGGAGATGACTATGTAGAAGTGTGTGTTGTGTGTATGAGAGATAGAGAGTGATTCTATGTTGTGGTGTGACTTCAGATGGATGCTTAGAGTTCTACATTAAGTAACACTAAAAAGCCCCCTGGCCCCTGCACTTGTAATTTCTTCTAAAGAGGTTTAGGAAGCTTTCCTTTTCTCTCCATTCCCAACCTCTTAACTTTATTCAATAATAAAGGAAGGACTTCCCTGGTGGCCCAGTGATTAAGAATTTGCCTTCCAATGCAGGAGACATGGATCTGATCCCTGGTCCAGGAAGATAACACACGCTGCAGGGCAACTAAGCCCAAGCACCACAACTACTCAGCCCATGCCCTCTAGAGCCCCCGAGCCACAGCTGGCACTCCAACTGAGGCTCAACACAGTGAAATAAATAAATAGATATTAAAAATTAAATAATTAATAAAACTCAAACTAGTACAGCCACTATGGAGAACAGTGTGGAGATTCCTTAAAAAGCTGGAAATAGAACTGGCACATGACCCAGCAATCCCACTTCTGGGTATACACACCGAGGAAACCAGATCTGAAAGAGACACGTGCACCCCAATGTTCATTGCAGCACTGTTTATCATAGCCAGGACATGGAAGCAACCTAGATGCCCATCAGCAGACAAATGGATGAGGAAGCTGTGGTACATATACACCATGGAATATTACTCAGTCATTAAAAAGAATTCATTTGAATCAGTTCTAATGAGATGGATGAAACTGGAGCCCATTATACAGAGCGAAGTAAGCCAGAAAGATAAAGACCATTACAGTATACTAACGTATATATATGGAATTTAGAAAGATGGTAACGATAACCCTATGTGCAAAACAGAAAAAGAGACTCAGATGTATAGAACAGACTTGTGGACTCTGGGAGGAGGCGAGGGTGGGATGTTTCAAGAGAACAGCATCAAAACATGTATATTATCTAGGGTGAAACATATCACCAGTCCAGGTTGGATGCATGAGACAAGTGCTCGGACTTGGTGCACTGGGAAGACCCAGAGGGATTGGGTGGAGAGAGAGGAGGGAGGGGGGACCGGGATGGGGAAATACATGTAAATCCATGGCTAATTCATTTCAATGTATGACAAAAACCACTGCAATGATGTAAAGTAATTAGCCTCCAACTAATAAAAATAAATGGAATAAATAAATAAATAAATAAAATTAATATGAAAAAAAAAAACTCAAGGTGAAGAATAGGGTATTCAATTTTTCCCTGTGGGGTGAATGCTTCGATAATCAGTGACTTATCTAAAATAACCTCCCCATCATTACTCTGGGTTTCCAAGGGTTTGGTGAAACAGGAGGGCCAGAAAATGAATGGGCACCTCTCACCAGAACCCAGCTAGCAAGCTGAGCTTCCATGCTGCGTTTTTGGGACATTTACCATTGTCCTCACTTAGCAGGAGGGGTGGTGATGTTAGGTGATGTATGCAGAACAGGGTTGGGAGCTGTCACCAGAGTCTCTATACCAGGGATTTTGACTTGGCCTATGGTACATCTCGGGGCTTCCTAGGTGGCGCTAGTGGTAAAGAACGTGCCTGCTAATGCAGGAGATGTAAGAGACACAGTCGGGAAGATCCCCTGGAGGAGAGCATGGCAACCCATTCCAGTATTCTTGCTTGGAGAATCCCCATGGACAGAGGAGCTACAGTCCATAGTGTCACAAAGAATCAGATACAACTGAAATGACTGAGCAAGCACACATGCATGGTACATCTCTGGAACAGAACTGACGTTGAGTACACCATTCTGATTGTATGTGCATATGCTCATTCCTTTGAGTCTTTCATCATTGAAAAAGGATACAAACACCCCTCAAATGTTAAGAACCTTTGTTCTGACATCTGGATTTTTAGTAATGGAAGGTAGAGTGTGTATTTACATTATTGTTGTTTTGTTTGTGGCTAGACTTGGTGGGGTGGGCAGGGGGTGGGGAACTTGTGCTGCTAAGGGCTAAATTAATTTCTCTGCTGCTGCCCCAACCCCTTCGGAGCTCTTCTGCTCTGTGAAGCTGGGGTGGGGGCACTGTGTCCCCAGAGATGGACACTGGTTTGGGGCCCCTCCGTGTGCATCAGGCACTGAACCACTGCATAAACCGCAGGGAGCCTCCCACCCTCTCTGGGAGGATTGTGTGCCTCTAATTCCAGGAGCCTGGGCTATAGAGGAACCCAACTCTGGGGGTGGAGGTGGGGGAAGGAGGGGACCCTTGGTGAAGGCAGAAGTGTTTCAGCCCCAGGGGGAGAAAAGGGGTTGGCCAATCCCTCCCCCTGTCCGCCACTCCCCCAGATTTCAGGAGGAGCAAGTTTCTCCCTCACCCAACAAAATGCCACTCAGATGAACTGGGTCCCAATGCTGCAGATTACTCACCCCAGATCACTGGGCTTTTCCTTTGTGGTAGTTTACTCATGCAGAAATGCAAATGAATAGGGAAAGATTACAGCTTAAAACCCTTATTCACAGAGCAAGGCTTTAATTACCAGTTAGTTTTATTATCAGCTAATGTATTAGTGAAAATGGTTGGCAGTCAGCAGAGAACTGAGACTGGGACATAGAATGGGATGGGGGATCTAGTCATTAAATATGGAGGTGGGCTCCCTCTGGGCAGGCGTGGGAAGGTTAGGGACAAAAGTTCTTCCTTCTCAGTTTTCCTGGAGGATCTCTTTATCTATTCCCCAAAGCCAAGTGCGTGAGTGCTCAGTCGGTCAGTCGTGTCTGACTCTCACCTAACTCAGGACTGTGAACACACTCTTCTACATTGAGGAGGCTCTCATTGCAGGAGGCACCTTTAAACGTGAGCTGCTGGTCCAAATGTGGCCCAGGCCAAAAAAGATGGGAAAGGTTGTCATGGTTCACCAAGAAGCATCCCAGGCCTCTCTCAATATTTAGGGAACATAATGGGTGCATGCACAAAAGGGGAGGGCAGCCCCATTCTGCCTCTCAGTTATCCACATTGGTGGTGGTTGTGTCTATGTCTGTGTGTGTGTGTGTGTGTGTGTGTATTTGTATGGATATTTGTATGTGTCTGAGTGGGGGTGAGGGGCAACATATCCCAGTGCCTTTCACTCTCCTTGAAAATGCACTGTTAGACTTGTTGTTAATGGCTTCTTTTGGGTGGGATGATGGTGGGGGATTTACTATTGTTAACTGTGTTCTGCTGGTTGAAAGTCCAATGAGTCCACTTTCTCTGAGTCCTCTCAGAGGACCATGGGGAAGGCAGCCCAGAGTGCCCTCTGGAGTTTCACCATAAGTGATGGGCCAGTGATTGTGAAGAACGGCATTGACCCTGAGATGTCAAATGGTTGATACCCAAGCTCATGGTTGAATGTGGGAGGTAGACCAGTTGGCACTGACTACTTGAAGAATGAGGTGGAGATGAGTGAGGCCTGTGGAGGAAGCAGGCTTGCAGATTGTAATGTACAAACAAGGCTATGCCCATTACAGGACCTACTGGGCAGAGTCAGACAGGGCTTGTAGCCCAGAGCAAGATGTTTCAGTTTCCTGTTGTCCCAGCAACAAAAGAAGAACAAGGTGGTGGAAAGTTGAGAAATAAGTGACTTAGTAGGAAGCCTCATGTCATTTTGAACCCACAAAGGAGAACTTGGCTCACCAATTGAGGCAGGTCCAGCCTTAAAGGATGACCTGTCTGAAATCCCACTTCTCCAGCCAGGTTCTCCACCCAAGATCTAAGACTCCTGACTTCAGTCAAGTGCCTTGAAGTTGTGACAGAATTATTAAAGAGCACGGGGAGTATCTGGAATTGGGCAACTGGTGTCTAGGAGCTGAACACACAGCTTATTCCAGTGGAGAAGACTTCCTTGTACATCCTCCCACTTGGGAGCCACAGTGATTCTGGTAGGGTCCAGATATTAGCCTAGATTCTGGCCTCCTGACCTAGGGAATTCAGCGTAAATTCAGATGGGCTGAGAAGGGGAAAAAAGGTGTTATTTGCTCAATTGTGTCACCTCTCTGTGACCCTATGGACTGTAGCCCACCAGGCTTCTCTGTTCATGAAATTCTCCAGGCAAGAATACTGGAGTAGGTAGCCATTCCCTTCTCTAGGGGATCTTCCCAACCCAGGGATAGAACCCTTGTCTCCTGCATTGGCAGGTGGGTTCTTTACCATTGAGCCACAAGGGAAGTCCAGAAGGGGAGGGAAGGTGATATCCTTCTGGAAGGCGCTATCCTTCTGGAAGGCAGTGTGAAAGGAAAAAAAATAATAATCTCAAACCTGGAGAAAGACAAAATGGTGATTGCTTAAATCTTTGATCTCAGGCTAGAGTTTGTCTGAGTAGAAGCAAGTCCTTGCTGCTTGTTAACCTTCGATCATCTGGCACTTTGGGAAGTGTAACATGGTCAGCACAGTATGTTTGGTTACCAGATCACAATGGATAAAGCAGTAGACAGTTTACATCTGCTTGGTGGGGTAATATGACTCTATAACTTGGCAGAGATGTTAAACCCCTATGTATTTCCACGTGAGACATACTCCATAGCCAACTTTGAATCT